TATCACAAGTGAGCCTCAGCTCAAAAACTTAAGAATCTTTAAAACAAATAGTACAGTAAATAGTGCCATGATAAAGTTATATATGGAGATTATGTTGAAAAAAGCAATAGACCTAACAATTTTGTTTAAGTATATTTTGGAAAAGTATTTGATTTAGTAAATATAATGATATTGATATAAATGGTTTTTGTAATATAATAATAATAAAAAGGGATACAAGAGAACAAAAGAGAAGAGAATTATTACAGGCTTTTTCTTATACAACTGAAGGATAAGAAAGACTTTCAAACTTGAGTAGACTTTAATCAGAGATCACATTTCACTGTACTAGTTGTTTTAAAGATTCTTAAGTTTTTGAGCTGAGGCTCACTTGTGATAAAGAGTGTAAAACATTGTTTCTTGTTTAAAATTATTATAAAAAAAAATTTTTTAACAAAACAAATATAATCAGAAGAGAGTTTTTTTTTTAAAGAATTTTACTTATAATTTAATAACTAATAAATAAAATATTATAAATAAATAAATATATTTATTTAAAAATATAAAGAATAAGTTTACTTAATGAACTTTTTAAATATATTATTAAAATATTCTTAAATTTTAACTTAAAAAAATTAATAAATTTAAATTCATTAGTAAAAGATATTAAAATTATTTCAATAAATAATTTGTCAAATAAAAATATATATTTATAATAAATTAATTCTTTTATGAATTTTTTAAATTTTATATTAAAATTAAATTTCTTAAAAAATATTTAATAATTTTTTTATAAGTTAAATTTTTTTTTAATTTTATAATTAATTTTTTTTGAAAATTTACTATAGTAAAAATTTATTTTTCAAATAGAATTTATATATAAATTTATATTTAAAATCTATAATTGTTAAAAAAAACTTTTTGACTTTAAATTAATATTTTAAAATAAATTACTAATTAAATAAATTAAATATTAATATATTATTTTGTTTATTGTAAATTATATATATTAAAAATTTAATTTAATTTAATTTATTATTTATTAAATTATAAAAAAAATTCAATTTTGGTTTTTTTTTAAATTAAATTATATATATATTGTATATATTTTTATAATATATTATTTATTAATTATTGGATTATAAATAAAATTAGAAATATAATTTATTTTGGTTTTTTAAATTAAATTATATATTTAATATAATAATATAATCAGTATTGATAAAATTGTATTTCATTAATAATTATTATATTCTTTTTATTATATTATTTATTACACTCTATAGTAAATAATATAATAATAAAAATATGACAATTATTAATAGAGTATAATTTTGCCAACTCTAAATATAATATAATTTTTTATTTAAATTAAGTATTAAAGATAAAAATTTTTCAAAATTAGAAAATATAATATATTTTTTTAATATATAAAAATAAAATATTATAAATAATAATAATAAAATAAGATAATAAAATAAGATAATAAAATAAGATAATAAAATAGGATAATAAAATAAGATAATAAAATAGGATAATAAAATAAGATAAATTTTACTTTATATATTATTATTATTTTTATTTTTAATCAAACTATATACTAATATGTTTATTAATTTTATATATAAAAAACAATAATATAAAATTTAATATATTAAGATTTATATTAAAGTTAAATTATTTTCAAATAACAGAATATTTATTAACAAATTATATATATATATGTAGTTATTAAAATTTTAATATTAAAATTATATATATAGTAAAATTAAATTCAAATATTTTTCAAAACTGTATTATTATAAAATTATTAAATAATATATAAAAAACAATTAAAATTATATTATTAATCAAATTTCTATTTATAGTAATATAAATATATACATATATAATAAAACCATTATATTATTTATATTAGGATTTTGAATTAATATTAAAATAATATCAACTTATAATAATTTTAATATATGAGTTATAACTTATTATATTAAATTAATGATAAATTCAATATTGATTTGATATTAAAATAATATTATTAAGAATTTTAGTCTATATAATTTAATTAATAATTAATTAATTTATTATAAAAAGATAAGTTTATTAAATTATTACTATATAATATTAATTATTTTAAATTTTTTAAATCTTAACTTTCTAAATATGATTGTAAAAATAATAAAATTATTTTTTTTCAAAATTAAATATTTTAAGATTAATTTTGAAAGTATGAATTAATTCTTAGATTATTTAACATATAAAATTTCATAGATTTATTATATTTTTTTATTTAAATTGTAAAAAAACCTTTATAGAAAAATTTTTTTTATTTTCTATTTTTTAAAAAACTTTTTAATAGTGAAAGACATTTTAATTATATTTTTATTTTTAATTTAAAAATATATTTTTATTTAAGAAATTAAAGTCAACTTATATTTAAACTATACATATTTTTTTATTACTATAAAAGAAAATTTAATCAATAATATGATTTTGAATTAAATACAATTCCAAATTATTTATTATATGTTACTTAGTAATTCTAATATAATATAATTTTTGAAAAATATCTAAATTCAATTTTATTATATATATATATTATGTTATATATGAATTTAACAATAGTATTATATTTTTATTATTAAAAATAAAATAATAAAATATATATTATAATACTAAAAACAATATTACATTTTTATTTTATAAAATATCTATCAAAAACTTAATAATGATTTTATAATTTAGTTGTTATAATATTAATAATAATGCCAAATTGTTGTTATTATAACTTATATCTAAAACAATTATAATTTATAGTAAAAATAGTATAATTACGATTTAATTAGCCTATAGTTATATCATATATAAAATGGTTTAAAAAAAATTAATTCTAAAATAAAATATTAGAACTTTGGATTATTATTTAAACCAAATTTATTTATTAAAAAAAATTTATCACATAAAATTTTTATATGTAAATAATTTAGTTGTTTATTTTGTCAGATTAAAATATATCGCATTAATGGTTTTATGCATGTATAAAAAAGTCAAAGAATTATTAAAATAATAAAATAAAATAATAATTCAAAAAAATTTTTAACTAAAATTGTATATATGAAAATACAGTGTATTTTGATAAGAAAGTTCAAGTAATAGACGTCAAACCATTCAAGTGTTTTGATAATATATTATCAAATGTTTTAATTTATTTAATCAAACAATAAATTCTCGGTTATTGTATTTTATTGTTTTTATTAAAGAAATTTTCACAACGATTAATTTTTAATTACCGTACATCTCATATGATAAATTATTTTGGTAGTATGCTGTCACAGCTTCTGTAGCTAACCAGTGCAGAGCTTATTAGACGTAGTGCGAAAACTTTTTTCACCAACTTTATTTTTTTACTTGGAAACCAAAAGAAAACAAAATGAACAAATGAAACACGAGAAATCACCAATCCCTTAATTAATGTACATAATTCGCTCTTTCTTTTTTTCACTATTGTATTAGCTAAGCAAGGAGGGTATCGCGAATTTGATTTACTGTATACTCCGGGCATCTTTAGTCACGTGATAAAGTTACGCTCAACCCTTATTTTACATTCTTAATATAGTATACCTGAATGTTTTGAATTCATTTATAGGCTAATTCAAGGGCAATAATAACAAATAACAAATATAAATCATAAATCATACCAATATAAGGGATTGCTGTTAAATGCATTCCTTAAATTATGGTACAAGCTGGCTTAAATAAAGGATGCGAGATGAAAATTCACGATTAGGTTGGGACCTGCCTTGTATAACTTAAAATTTCCATAACAAGATTTGTTTTTAATGGTTTTTTTCTTAATAAACACGTTATTATCCTAAAATATACGCGAGCACCCTTCATATTATTTGTTGAACTAAACAAAGACACCAAAAGTAACTGTCCGACAAAAGTTTTACATATCAGAATACATAAGATATCGAATGTACTACAACTTCCCTGATCTACTTAAACCGAGGAACGACTCGTTCCGGTTCACGTATGACTGATCGACTGGTTCCTTGATGTGAATACATGTTTAAGAAATTTCCATGGTTAGCTCGTGTAACATATAAACGAGTCATGCCCAACAATGAATGTGAATATAATATTGCAAAAAATCATTTATAAACTCGCCATCACTGCAATGCTAACCAGATTTGGTTATTGGAAACATGGAAAAATACACGCGTCTGAAGAAGCAATTTAGCCCCCATTGTACGTATCGAAAACATTAAGTTTTTCGGTTATCATTTACACAACGCCTCATATTCTGTGCATTTCTCTTTCAAGAATTCTCCAATTGCTTGAATCTTATTCTATATTGCTTAGATCATTATAGCATTAAAAGAAAAAATATCACAAATGGATTTTCTTAATAAAGTATTTCGAGCAAAAATAGAACTGCAACAAATGCAATAAAAAAAAATAATCATACAAAATATTGACATCTAATTTTCGAATCTTCTTGGTGATACAATCTTATATTACTTTACAGTGATTTACTTGAAAAATAATTGTTTGCATCGGGGACACGGGGAACATGCGCCGTGCGATCAAAAATAGCAACCCTTGTTATAGGTTCATTATTAATCTTATAAATATGGTCTTATTGCCGTCGATTTTCGATGTCTATTTTCGCATCTAATGACCGAGGGCGAACCAATTTGTTTCCTAATTGTCAATTTCCTATTTCAGATTGTAATAAAAAAGGAAGTGATTCATATGAATTCTCGTAGATTTCACTTTCAGCATAACGCCCAAATTTTTTCTCCAGCTCATAAATGACTTCAGTAGAACCTTCAGATAAAACTGAAGAAACTAAATTACCCGAATGCCAGTAAGAAAGAATTCGCTTTGCTCAAGTACCCATTCAACATACAGATTAATCATAAAAAATTCATACGTATTTATAGATGGACATATAGGTAATATTTTTATTATTTCGTGTAAATCACCATTATCTTGAATTTACGTTAATACTGTATTTCATGAAAAACAGTATAACAAATTGTCGCCACGATCAAATACTGCAAGATCTTTATTATACTTCAAGTATACTCTTTTTCGTGCTGGGCACCTTCGCTATAATATTACTTGCATTCAGATTGATTGTACGGAAAACTTCCTTATTTGACCATGGATGCTTCGCAGCAACTAACGGATTTTTGTTTTGGGTCTTTATTTGGAGTTCAGGTAACCTTTCTTGCAAGAATATGATGTTATTGATAGAAAATTACGACTAATCGAATTATTGTTTCTTGCAGCACGCGCATTCACAAACATAATGCAACTGCTCGATTTGCTTAAGAACCTCCCTATTGCTCAAGATTTAATTTTTGACTCATCATGGTATAGTGCTGAGATTGCCATAGTTTCTTATATAGCTGGAATGTATGTCGCATGATTCGCTTCACCACCTAAGTTATAAAGATTGTTGATTGAACTTTTTTCCAAAAAGATTTCGAACTCTTCCCCGAATACAACTGAATCTTGC